TCTGAAGTACCCACTAGGAAGAGGATATTGCTATCGCGTTCAACTCCTAAAGGCGAAGCTTTAGAGTCTGATAATTTTTACTTCGATTCCTGGTGTAGCACAAGAGAGAATTTTTTTTTGAGACAAATGAACAAGATTGGGTAGTTACTATGCATGCTTGTGCACTCCGAGCACAAAGACATGGCAGACACGCATGAGCACTCGTTTGCACCTGCCATGCTCTAGTGTCGTAAGTGCACAGCCATGGTTACGTACCAAATATGAACCAACTCGTCCTGCAGCAAGTTTTATTAAACACATTTGCCGCGATCGATTTGCGTTATGCACAATATTTGGTCCAATGCCCGGCTTTTCAAGACAGTGACGGATTTAAGAATTACTATATAATTACCTGTAAAAAATGAGCCTCATTGGTTAACACTAATAAATAACTATTTGATAAAAAACCTTGTACTTACTTAACTTACCAGTTGTAAATATTGGTATCGAGTTCACCTGTGCGTTTGATATTTTTAATATTCCTTTCACTTTTGTACTAACTTTTACAATATCTTCTGCAATCTATTAATTAATGCCCCATATAGCCTGGTACTGAGTAGCATACCATGGTTATATACACTCTAGCAAAAATCTTTCTCATGAATAGTCGTTCTCTTCCGGGGATCATATCTGCAGCCACTAGCTTTTCCTATTAACAAGTGAAACAAAAATAAATGTGTACGTTCCTACCCCCATGCTTGACGTGGTTGATGATTGATTGATACGTGGGCCTTAACGTCCCAAAACCTGACATGGTTGAAACGCTCTCACTAGTTCTTTTGTTCAGTCATTTTATTTAGTGGTAGTGGAAAAGCATTTATTCCGTAAAGCACTTGAAGTTGCACTACAAATGAACTTGAGTGATCTCCTTATCTTTCGTTCAGCCCTGCTTACGACCGAGAACGTTTTGTTCTGTTGCATTCTTAGCAAAAAGTAGGTTTGTGTTTTTTTTCATGGTTATGCTCAGATATGTAACTTGTTACTTATATGGTAAATGTTTTGTCGGAGTGTGCTATTGCCTACTCTGGACTCGGACAACACTTATGGGCAGCCCAACGGGCCTAGGACATAGCAGAAGTATTTGATCGTTCTGTTCAAACGTTCGAGCGGCCCGCAATGTTCTAAAGCGTGTTCCGTAGGACTACAATGTAATTTATTCATCTATCTATCCATATATCTCAATTAGGTGAAGCAAATAAAAAAGATACGAGCTTCTAAATTCGATTTCCTTTCCACATATAGGAGGAGATTGCCTCCTGTAAGTTAGAAATGAACCAATTAGGCAATTTATTATACAGAGAGCTTTCATACACCCTTTGAAATGCGCATATTCCACATGTGACCAAGAGTTCGACGAAAGCCTATCTGTTCGGGATGAGACCTGTAGAAATGAAGCCAGGGACACCAGCCAAATTATGATAAACATTAACTACGAACAAAATACGTTTTGGCTTTACTAAGGTAGCTTTGTCCATATTAATTAGGCGAAGGCAAGTTACAGGTGCTTATGTACTCTTCAGCTCGTCATGGGTTGCTTACCTGACGTGCATAAGAGTACCTAAGCACCTGCAACTTGCATTCATCCCAATAAGGTTAACAATGGTTTTGTAGTGAGTTCAAAATGTCTTCTATCATTTTTATATTTTGGTTTGATCAGTGTACTTCTTGTTATTGCCTCATATTGTACACGTAATAAACTTGAAGCGTAGAAAAAAGGTAATCAAAGTGAAGATGATTACAAAATAAATATTGTATGTCTATTTTGTTTACATTTATTTTAACTTCATCTTGGATTTACCCACCTAGTGATTTTGTTTCATATTCAACATAATTGACAACCATTTTGCCTTATTGGTTATATGACGCCATAACACAACGGAACAAATATTATTAATGGCGGCTGCTATTGTGATGAGCCACTAAATTTATATATCTATTTTGACAAGAATAATGAAAAAATTGCATCACGACACCTGTTAATATTTACACTGATCGCCCGTATTTTAATCACTTCACTAAACTGCATAATAAAACTAAACGTACAATAAAGCCCCTTGGTATACGCAATTTATGACTACGTGTAGTATGCAAAATCAGAATCTCAAATTATTCAAAGTGAATAATTAAATACCAGCCGATTTTTTTAGCTGATTACATTCCAAGAAAGTTTGTTTTTTACAGCAACGCTGTTAAGGTTAAGATTTTTCTTGTGTCGTTGATAAAAGTGATCAGCGCGTGCTCAATCACTATTCATTTAAGGCACATTTCTATGGGGAGCAAAATCTTTGTGTTATATAGGTTCTAGCATAAGAGGTTTTAGGAAAAAGGCTTTTATGTGCCGCCATCATCGAAAACCTTGCGCAAACATGAAGCTTTTTTCAGCCAAACATTATACCCTATCCTAGAAAGCAAGCAATGGCGTAAAATAGAATAGAAAAAAAAGAAGTAGTCAGATTGAATAACCTTCATGTAAATCAATATACTTGTAACTAAAGAGTGTGCCATGGCATCTGCATTTAGTTTTTTTTTTATCACCTGCTTCTCATTGTGAAGTTTCCGTGAACTTTCATAAGCGTCAAAGCTGCGTATGATACTTGTCGTGGATGAAAGTTTTGTGACGGGTGTAAGTACTCGGGTTAGGACTAGTCTGTAAATAGATTTACGCCCTTGCATCTTCTAAAGAAACGGAGCAGATCATTAAGATAGCATCGTATTTAAATATTGCTCGACATTACTTGTTTAAAGTACGATCTAGAACGCATCAAGAATTTAAATGTAGTTTTTCTATTCTTATGAGTGTGAGAGAGAGAGTGTGTGAGAGTCCATAAGAAGATTGGCTTGCTCCGGAGCTTACAGAAACCGAGTTTAACTTTAAAGCATCAGTTTTGCAGCTTAGAAAGCTGTCTTAATTGTCTGTCTAACCCATGATTGAGAAGCTTGACAGTGAGCTTACTTAATGCGAACACAATTTTGTTTTGAGAAAGCGGTAGAGCAGAAATTTCTGCGCCAGATTAAACCACAACGGGAAGCGCTTTTTTTCAATGTTTATTCGATATGGCTTAGAATCTGATGTTGTGCAAATAACACGAATAACCAGAAACCTAACTCCGCTTGTTAACGTCGCAAACGGAACGCCATTTTATGTACCTAGATCATAAATATGACTGTAAAAGGAAAAAAAATTGCTAGGGCCGGAACACTAACCATCATAGATTCGTAAAGCTTATCGTTGGAAGTTTGCCTAGGCTGCAAACGCTGCCGCACATCGCTGTTAGCAGTGTCTTGTTTGCAAGCAAATGGAAGCGCCGCAAACTGCAATGAAAACTTAGAGTACGCGGAAGTATAACGAAAGCATAGAGTTTCGTTTCACTCGAGCGAAGCTCAAACAAACAGAGATACCATAAACAGCAGCGTAATACCACTGATAGCTTAGTCTCAGAACCAGTGTCGTTCTAGTGAAGAAATAAACTCAGTTACCACACATGGCACGCACCTATAGTTAGTTAACGTTGACACAGTGTTTGCACTCACTTTTTTTTTTCTGTTGTGAGAGAGAAACAACTTTTATTGAAACGGCAAGTGTTAGAGGAGTTGACTCCCCTCCCTTAGATGGCAGCCAGGAGTCCTTGGGCCCTAGCGGCATCTTCGGCTTGCCTGAATCTGTTGTGATTTTTTTTTTGTTTGGGTGTAGTATTCACTAGCGTCGGTGTACTAATATACCTGTTCGCTGTGCATACAAGACGGTGGTTTGGCTTGACTAGAAAGCAGGCAATTATGCGCCTGTTTGTCCTCTAAACCGTCAGACAGTTCTTCAGAGACTTGCTTGAAAGAGCAGAATATCGAGCGCCGCAGCATCGCTGCAGACGTTCTTGCTCACCGGCCTTCCTCATTTTTTCAGATCCCAGTCTAGTTAAGTACACCAGCACCACATATAGTAATAAGAGAAACATAAATCTTTCTTTTTGTTTTTCACGTCGACTTGTTCTGGTGTGTTTGTTTCTTGGGCAGAGTAAACGCCTCGGAGACATAAGGCTTTTTTTTTTCTTATTTGAATCAAACAAAAGGATACGCGAAAAGGTGGTCATAACAAAACACCAGAAATACGCGATACTTCGACCAGCAATGATTTCGGTTGTGGTACAGGACATTCATTATTATTTTTTACATTGCTTTTGCTACTAAATTGCAGCCCGTGTGCAAAATATATGACTAGAGAAATTCTGTAGTACTGGGAGGAAATGTAGCACTTCAAAAAATTAGCCAGTATGTTCACCATCTAGCAAATGCTACTCAAGCTAAACCATGTCTTGACTTAGTTTTATTTACATACACGCTGTTTAGCTTCGGCTTTTGTTCGGAACGAAAATGTTCAATTCACTTCATATAATTATTATCGTGTCTATTCTAGAGCATTACTAACCGAACGGGTATAGGCGAGCCAAAGCCAGCTCATAGCTGTTGAGTTAACAAATGCATGAAAAACACTGTGCCCTGGTTTCTATAAAAGCGCCAAGGAAAAAAAATAACGTGACATGCAACGATACGCGGAAAATATATGTGTGCCATCCAAAATCAATTGTGGCTTAAAGCATTGCCTCCTCTACAAAGCTTTGATTACTAAGTTTACAGCGTGCTTAAAGGCACGCAAAAGAAAAAAAAGTAATATCTCGCGTAATTTGTGTATGACCTTTTCACAATGAAAAAAAAAAGCACAGCTTTCTTTACTAGCAGACGCTTAGTAAGCAATTGAAACATGCACAGCAAAGTTGCCAGTTCTCAGACCGGCTACCCATGCCGTCGAAAGGGCAAGGACGGCAGAAAAGAGATGTTACAAAGTAGAGGAGAAAGAAGAAAACAATAGTACGATAAATGACACTGCCTAGAGTCCATCTCTGAGACTGTATAGAGCTCGTATGGAGCCAGTAGCGCTGAGGTACCCTGTCCTTGTCCCTCCTTCGCAGGCGAGAACCCTGCAGCCATGCAGCACGGCAAGCACCCGTCAGCAGCCATGTGCGCCCGGTCGGCGCCGTTCACGCTGTTCGCCGTGGCACTGTGTCTCCAGGTGTGCTCGAGGCGCCGGTGACGAGCGACAGGCCACCACCCAGAAGAGCCGGACGTTGTGACAAACTGAGACGGCGCTCGACGCCGTGTCGTGCGTGACGGGAGAGACGGCGCACACCCGGAGAGACATCGCAGCCGCGAAGGGGCGTCGAGCGGCGGTCACGGCGTTGGCCCACCCCACCACTGCGGTTGACGAGTGCGCACCCTGTGAGAGGGTTCAGCCGAGTGAACGGTTCGCCTCGCGATGGGAGTGATAAGGGCTGCGGAGCACTTGTTTTCACGCTGCAGCACTCACTATACTTGACACTTGGAAGCCACGTCCGTACAATACGCCGAGCTGCAGACACCGCTCGTGGGGCTACCCGCTCGTACACATACGCGTGTTTGTTGTTACAGGAGAAGGAATCACCCCGACGAGTTTCGCCGACAAAGAAGACGTTTCTCGCTCATTTATTTCGACTTTCTTTACTCAGACTTTGTGCTTTGTCGTGGGTGACACTCCTCCGTTATCTCTCGGGTGGTAAAAAAAAGAACAAAAAAAGTCTACACGGTGTTGTTTTAGTCTTACCGGGTCTCTCTCGGTGTTGAGACTTGAGACGACGGTGATTCCACGTGATGTGGAAGAAGAACGTCGACATGGGGACGATGCCTCGGACAGTGATACAAACTGAAAATGGGCAGTGGCCACCTGATACAGGTGCGGTTCTTCACGTGGCCTCCGTGAACACCGACGCAGAAGAGAAGAGTTACGTGACCCTGTTTTAATCCTCATATCGTTCAATACGGGGGCCGCAATTGTATATAATGTACGAAAAAGTTAACAACCCACAAACAAAACAGTGAGGTCCCGAGAATCGGGTTATCATCACTGGAACTTGCGAGCAAGCGGGGTACACATAATGTCTAAATCAAGAAACAGAAACTGAGTATCCTTCAATCGTGTGAACGGAAACGGAAAAAGATGTTTAGTGTCGCGGTGTAATGGGAGCGTAGAAACATGCATTGTAAGCACAGCGCCTAGGTTCCTGGCTCAACACCATGCACTGGTGCTCAATGGCACAATACACTAACCAGAAAATTAGACTCGTCCAATTGCATTGCTTTATTTTAGACCCTACTCCTGTTCACCGACGTTAACTACGTTCTAGGTGATATTGCTTGCTCATCCCTTGGGTCAGGACCATCAGTCACTGGTTTATTTTGAAATAGTGTCCTGTATAGCACGCACACCTTGTTTCTTCTAGTCAGACAGTGTCGGAGCAGGCGCAACCAAGTCGCATGATTTGGTCACAGGCGTCTGTGAATACCCCTCAGCTGTTTTCTCCCTTGAAATTTTAGAACCAGAGTGAGTTTTTGTAATTATCGGAATCAAACTGCTGCTTCCTGTAACAGTGGTTGTAAAGGATATCGCGGGTTGACCATTAAAGTGTAATGTTGTTTGTTTGTAGCGTCTCTTTTTTTGTAAGTCGCGTGCGCTATGGTGTTCCTGCTCGGAAGAATCCTGGCGTCCAGACGTTTGTCTCGAAACACGCATACGGTACAGCACATCAGGTAAATTAAGTTTTCCCGGCATGCGATGATACGATGTTTAATACGGCATGCATGTAGTATGCAAAGTGGTGAATAAGCATCTGAGGGATTATATCCTTTGATCCTTTGAAGCTTGACAATATTCTTTACGCTCGCAAGGAGTGCTAAGACCGGGGATGGGAAAGTACACAGGAGGGAGATTAGTTACAGGATCGGCCAGACCGGCGAGCATGTCTATCTAAACAGTAGATCTACGTATTAAGCCCAGCTCAGATATAGCAAACTGGTATGTGTTAGGTATGTTTGAAATAACCGCTAAATGGGTTCGCAATAAGCGATGTGAAGAAAAACTGAAGGTACAAGACAAAGCGAGTTTTACACACTACGCATCAATGCAACTACGGAGAGAGAGTGAGAGATAAATAGAGAAGTAAAGGCAGGGAGCTTAACCAAGCTTGGCTCGGTTGGCTACCCTACACTTGGGGTGGGGGAAAGGGAGAATAATAGAAAGGAAAGAGATAGAAAAAAAGAGGAGTAAGAAAGAAAAGTATGAATAGTCAGCTTCGAGACTACACAGCACGGTCTCCCACTGTTTTTCACAAGCGGTCGTGAAGTCTGGCAGTCCTTAAGAAGTACAAGAGGGACTTTCGTGGCTTTGCGCGTATGCGAAACCGTCGGCCAAGGTCCCAGCATCTTCTTTTCTGTAAGCGGCCATGAATCCAGCTGAGTGAGCTCGGCTTCCATAATACGTCGTTCAGACTGGTATGCTGGACAGTGGCATAGAATGTGCTCAAGCGTCTCCTCGCAGGCGCAGATGTTGCATGCAACTAGAGAGAAAATCAAATAACTCCCATGGAGAAATGGTACAGAAAAGAGGTAAGGTATACAATATTACCGGCCTTATAGTAGAAGATGTAGCACAATTTTCGTTTTTTTTTTTCGTTTTGTTTTTTGCAGCTCCTGGAAGTGGCGTGTCGAAAATCACGTTAACCACTCGAGAGTCCCAACCTTATTATTTTATTTTCCTCGACGCGGAAAGCACATAGGGGTGGTGCTAATGATATTATCCTCACCGTCAAAAAGTGTGAGTAAGGTATCACTTTACGTATCCAGTGTATTTCCATCTGCCAATAAGCGGACGACCAATGCTGTTAGAAACACAATAAGGTGCCTAATTTCTTAAGAAACACCTACACCCCTAATGGGTGCACCTACACCCATTAAGGGTGTAGGTGCACCCTTAATGGCGTCACATGTGTGCGTATAGAGCCGGTAAGAGGAGTTACATAAAGAATGGTTTCAGAAACGTCTGAGCTTCGATAATAGGTGCCGTAGAAGCTGTGGTGACCTGGCAGGCTCACGCAATCATGATGACCAGTGATGCACTGATGAAATCGGGCGATGATGAGTAGAAACGTGGTTTCACGAAATGTTTCTGCTGAACAACATTGGGTGTTGTCCAGCACCCACTTGAATTCGTCGCCAACGAACCCGCTGTCGATTTCAAAACTTCATTTTTCAGAAACATCTAGTTTCTTAAGATTTACTGTTAAGTTGCTAACCTCAGTGCGACGTTCAATTGTGAGTCAACATTCACTGTCTTTTCTTTGTCCACTATCGCTGCCTTTCAGTCATGCTTGAATTAATATAGCATCAATACCAGCTATTACTATCATCAGTTGTGCTTAGAGACGCGCGTAATGCCCTCTCACGGCAAAACTCACGCTGGTAGTGACTATTGATTATTGCTACAAGCGCACTGAGTTCGTTTAAACAGGATCCACTTATTTCACGTAAATTATTATCGGCGTACTACATATACCTACCACCAGCTAGATAAACGACCGTATTTTCGGCCTCAAACATTCCTGTTGGCTTCAACGTAATCTTGGTTTTAATGAGGTGTTTCACGCTAGTATAATAACGAACACGAGGTCCGGCTATGAAACTTGAAGGGATGCTCATATGAAATGATTTGATCCTGTTTAGTCGGATTTGACGCGTTTGTAACTACAATGCAAAGCCACTGCCGCCATCGTAGCAGGCCTCAATCTTGTCTACACTAATCGATACCGTAACCGATAGTCAATAGAACTGTCGCAAGTAGGTCATCAGCCATTCAAATACAATAATGCAGGGGCGTTCATGAATTCCACGTAGATTACGTGCACCAGCCAAGCGACATCACAGTTTATCCAGCGTTCTAGGCTGCCGTTAACTTTTCAGACGTCGCTGCTCTGACGTCACGCTGTGCTCTTTAGGTAACATGGCACCGTCGTAGCGGTGAAAAAATGTAGCGTGATTTACGCCGAACACTTTCACTTCAAAGTCGGTGATGGTCTTGCTGTCTTATCGATCTACGAACGCAGCAACTAGAAAAAGACCAGTGCCATGGTTTGTGACAAAAAATAACAACGGCGTGCTGTAGCATTGGACTTCAACGTTCAAGAACAAGAAAACAAGTCTGTGAAGATGGTGAGCCGCAGTCACATTGGCGAAGTTGAAGCCTTTGATTAAGCTGTAAGTAACTAACTAATCTACGAATATGGAGGCTGGATTATTTTTTCTGCAGAAACTTTCGACCATCTGGTGTTCCACGATATGCACTGACATCACACCGTACACAGGTCTCCATCGAAATGCGACCACCGACACCAGGATCAGAACCTGTGGCCCTCGGCTCAGCAGCCGAGCACTGACCCACGGAGGCAGGCTTTTTGAACAGTTTATGTTCAAAAGTGCGCGCGTTTCTTGTGGTTCTGCAAGCGTACTGTTTATTCGTCTCGCTCTTTCCACCGGAAAAGCATGAAGTAAGAAAGGCATAGTAATCGCACAGCAATGCTCGCAACTACTTTATGCCCGACCTGTCCTCCATAGGAGAGCGAGCTAGGCTACCCAATCGCTATCAATGCTACTGCGGGAGCACCGCCCTAAGTGTAGCGGAGCTACAGAAACAGCTTAAACGTGCGAATTCAACCGAAGTTCTTGCTGAGCCGCTCAGGCGGGCACATGTATGCCTGAGGTGCCTAACTTTTCAGCAATAGAGCCCATTTTGACTTTATAGACGAAGGAAAACGTCCAGGAAGCGCGTAAGAACTAGAAGAACAGGGATGAGAGCTGGGCTAATTTGGTAAGTATTCATCTTAAAAGACAGGAAGTGCTTTTACGAATCCAGAACTCAAGACACCGCACACGTCGTTCGTCTGCTGCTTATTCTTTTCTGTGTCCATGTTTACAGGCATCGTTTGTAGACAAATAAAATATTGAGTCTTTTAAACACGTACGGGAAATTGCATATCATTAGCCCAACCCGGTTGAAAGGTCTGGATTCTCCACTGAAACTAAAACTGACACGGAAACTTCACATAAACTGTTCAAAAAGCCTGCCTCTGTGGGTCAGTGTTCGGCTGCTGAGCCGAGGGCCACGGGTTCTGATCCCGGTGTCGGCGGTCGCGTTTTGATGGAGACCTGTGTACTGTGTGATGTCAGTTCATATCGTGGAACACCAGACGGTCGAAATTTCCGAAGCCTTCCACTACAGCGTCTCTGTAATCATATAGTGGTTTTGGGACTTAAAACCTAAACATTGTTACTAACTGTTCAAGAAAGCGTAAGCAATGCGCCTCTTGCTCAGACCTGTCGTTTATGATTCCGCTGCTCATTTCGTTTCACTCTCTCCGCTTAGCGTGATGAAACTACACGACATCGACGTAAAATGCTTACGCATATGTATGCTTTCCGGCATCATTGCGAGCATACGTGCGCGCTTAGTGATTATGCTACGCATGCTGAGTTATCATCGCATGCGGTCACGAGCGGAAGCGTTACGTGGACATCTCCATCGCCGGTACAACTGGTTGACTTGTTTTTACCTACAAACGTCTTTGTTCACATCAGCGAGGAGACAATATATGAGAGAAGAGTGCGGCGTTTGTTTCCTGCATTTTTCTGTGAAAGATGTATACCACTAGTTTGCGGCGTTTTCTTTAGTTAGTGCAAAAAAACACGATTTATATTACTTAATCAAAGAGAAAACGTGGCTAATTAGCGAAAAATTTGCAAGATTGTGGCGCTGACAAACAAACACGCCATCAAAAAAAGAAGGGGGGGGGGGAATATTTACATAGAACCTCGAAATAACCGTATAGCCTTAAAAAAAAAGATAACATGATACTCCATCAGCAGACTTCTACATTTTACGTGCTTCTGCACGCCGCCTTGATAGCAACGTTATCTGTTTATTTCATATTTCATTGTTTCTTTCCGGTGATACCTGTAAGCTCTCGAGTGCAACATTGCTAAACTGAACTAGTGACGTTGTTCGTACGTCTTTATGGGGTATGACTTGAGCGTGTTTAACGACCGGCCATCGCCGATTTACAGCAGCTACCCAACCATGCTACCAAAGGACACACCGCATGGATTGGCTGCGTTGTTCGCGATTGCATCACCACCGCATAGTCAATGCCATAGCAGGCATACTGAATGGGTTGGCTCGTCAATGCGGCGTATATATTCCGATGTCCACGCAATGGCTTTGGCGAGCGGTAACGTGCGCTGCGACATCAGCAAAACTTTTGTCTTGGGTGTAAATGTATCAACGAGCTCCCGTTATTTAGTGTTTGCGTTCTCTCGTACTTGGCGTCGTGCGTGCAACTAGCTAGCTCAGAGCCACGAAAGTTACTCGCAGCCAGTGCTTTCGCAACGCAGCTCGAGCGGAACCTAGCTCATACCGGTTCTCAGGATAAGAAGATCAGCGCTCGACGCACGTTTTGCGTGCTCGTATGAAAGAGAACTACACCGGCTGCGCCCCAGCACTGCCACATTTGTTGCGAGAAATATCTTCATGAGGAGGTAGGAACGACCCCAGACTAGGCTGCCTTCGCTGGTATTGATAGCACTAATGACATGCC